GCATACAAATCCAGCTGGACAATCCAAGCAATTTGTTTGGCCTGATTGGTCTGTGTACGTCCCCGCTCTGCATGGCTTTGGTTCTATTGTCTGTGTTTCACAATAAAATCCTGCTGGGCAAGGTATTAATCTATTTTCAGACGCCATCGGATTTTTTGGAGGCAGTAATACCGTTCAGGCACTTCTTTACAGGCGCTCTGGCCTACTTGATCTTGGTATTGTCCCAAACAACAAGCGGTAGGAATTGCATTTCGACCATCGCAGAAGTGACCCACAGGACAAATGAAAGCAAGGTCGAATCCCACCGACATGCCTAAAGGACAGTAATATCCGTAAGGACAGGTAAAATTAGTTCCAAACGTCAGAGCTTCTTCAGGACAAAAGTATCCTGCTGGGCAAGCTTCACAATCGCTGACATTTCTGTTTCCAACAGTCCCTGAGAACGTCCCCCGAGGACAGCTTATAGGCTGCAAGGTCCCGGCTGGACAGTAGTGCCCTTGCGGACATGGTCCCCGACCCCTGAGGCCCTCCCAGGGCCTTGGCGTACTGCCCCCAAGCCCGCCCAAAGCACCTTGGCAGTAGTACCCTGCATCGCAGGGTCCTGTCGGCAGGTGTCGCAGCCCCGCTGTACCACAGTACATTCCTGCTGGGCAATCTGTGGGCTCCCACGAGCCCGTAGGGCATATGGAGCCCAAGGGACACTCCCCGCCGCAAGTCCCATTGGGCATGACTCTTGCTATATCTTGGTTGCACTCTCCGCTCTGACATACCCGAGACCGTGGATCGCATGATAGCGCTCGCTCGTCCGCAGACCCTCCGGTACAGTACCATCCTGCTTTACAAGGCCCGCTTGGAGCCGTGAGCCCTGTATCGTTGCAGTACATCCCAGCAGGACAGCTCGTGCACTGCGACACATTTGCAAGCCCCTCCTGCCCTCCGTACGTGCCCCGCGGACACCGTCCGGCCTCAAGGTTCTCCATGCCTTCCGGACAGTAGTGCCCCAAGGGACATACGAGGCTGCCAATGTCTCCTACTCCCCTGCAGTCTGCTGACGACGAGAAAGCTGACACCTGGACTCCCTGTCCTTGGTTGCTCGTGTTGAGTACGACAGCTACCTCTAGCCCGCTGCTCCCCTCGGCTATGATCCCTCCCAATCCGCCCATGCGCTCCCCTGCTACGACCCTCGTCCACCCCCGCTCGCCGTAAGCGTTCAGCTTCATAACGAAAGCGCTGTAGCTCCCTGCCTGTATGCTCCCTTGCTCTGCTGGCATGTCCGTGTACCCCAGGAGGTATATGCCCCCGTACGCGTCTGTGCTCACCGACTCCCCTTCCTCGTTCCACTCCGACCCCACCACGGCCCTCCATCGCTCCTTGCCTTCTGCAGAAACCACGGCAAGAAAAGCGTCCCTCTGCTAACGTGAACCATTTTCACTCCGCTCCTACAAGC